TCTTGCTCAGGACTGAGCTCAGGTAAGCCCAGCTGGTTCCCCACTCATTCACAAACCCCCTAGAGAGCAAGCAGGTATGGAGCCCAGGGCTCCAAAACTAGCTCAGAGTAGGACAGGTCGGCCCTCAGGCCCTCACAGCACTGACACGATCATCTACAGTGAGTCACTCAGGTTTTACACTCTGCGGTGATAGGAAGGAGACCAGGCACATTCCCTGGGGCATCCTCATTCCCCAGGGCCTGATGTCAGTGCCTCCGCATGCCTCCAGCATTCCACCTTTCCTCCTGCTATACAGCTTCTGGATGTTGGCCCCTTTGGTCCCACAGGTCTCTCCCTTCCCCTAATGAATTCCCCTCATCCTTCACATACAGGCCCATCAAGTCATGTATGAATGAGGCTTTCTGGTTTCACCGCCTTGGCTTTGGCTCGGCTGTTCTGCATGAGCCGGGGCGGCCTTTCCCAGGGAAGATGGCATGGAAGGGAAAAGCTTATGGTGGCAGAGGCAGGAATGTCACCCAAAGTTCCTTAATATGTGGACAAATTGATCACCGGGAGAACTGTTATTGATCCAGACGTTTATCCATCCATTGCTCTTGGATTTGGGGAGGGAATCATCTGTTAATAAGAAAGAAGGACTCTGCAGTTTTAGCTGTTTTGAGGGCTGGGGCAGGAGAATCCAAATACTCCAAAGTGAAGAGGAGATGATGGGTGGGCAGATGACGTTTTGGATTTGAAGTGAACAATATTAAGAGAGTACTGCAGGGTGGGAGGTAACAATAGTTGATATTTATTTAGCACTTACTGCATGCCCCAAATATGAAAGACCTAAGTCCTTCATATTTACTTTCTGATTTAATCCTTACAATCACCCTATAGAGTAGGCCTTGGTATGAAGCCCATTTTTCAGATGAGGACATTGAGGCACACAGAGGGGAAGTCCCGTCCTCAAGGTCACATAGCTAGAATGAAATGAAGGCAGGACCAGAGCCCACGTGGTCTGAGCCTGGCTCTCTCTTCTTAAACACCACTCAGAGTGACAAATGGGGAATAGGTGCATGAAAAAGGTGAGCTGGTTACAGAAGCATCTGCAGACACAGTGTGAATGGGGACAGGAACCTACAAAGGGTGAAGGAGGAAGGAACAGAAGGAAGGAGAGATAGGAGGCTCTGCTAGGAAGTTCAGACGCTTCAGAGCAAACAGCAGTGGAGGATGAGAGTTGACAGAAGGTCAGTGGGCTTGGCACCTGGCTTCTTGGTGACGTTGAAAAGAGCATTATCTGTCTGGTGGCAGGGCAGCCTGCAGAGGGAAGAACCCAGCCCAATGGGAGAATGGGATGATCCATGACGGATTTCCAGAATTTTGGCCATGAAAGCAGGAGGCAGAACATCCACCTGATTTGGAAGGCAGGGTTTGGGTCAGAAGTGTGCAGATGTGTGAGCCAGCCACAGCTGGAAGGCCCAAGGACAGATAAAACAACTTTGCAAGGAGGCTGGGGGCTGTGTTCACATCCCATGCAGAGGCTCACAGGACCCAGTCACTATGTGCCAACCAGAAACCCTCTCTGGGGCACTAATTTCTTCCCTAGGACTGTGTCTCTGAGCTGGTTCCTGCTGGCACAGAATTACCCAAGGAGTTGGTCTGGGTCACAAGAATCAGGGGTGGTTGGCTTAAAAAAAACAGCATCCCACAGTCAAGGAATTATAGGAACTCTGGATGAATGAAGTTCAACTGGTTTCTTTGAAGCTAAAACTTCTTGGATCTTTCTATACTCATGGACAGAGAACAAGAATCCCAAGTTTCCGGTCTCTGGGTTTGTGTCCGGGACCATCTAGCAGAACCAGTGTTCTCCTGTGTTCACCAGGAAAGGCAAGTGTTGGCCCATTAGCCTGGAAAACATTCCTGCTGGTTCCTGCCAGCACTTTACTAAGGGTAAAGTTACCCCAGCGACTCTGCCTGCTTATCTCTTCCTCCACGTGCATTCTAGCAGCGTGTTTGCTCTTGTTCTTGATTCTCACAGCACACAATGAAGGTCCTTCAAGGGAAAAACACTTTCAATGGGTCTCTCAAAACTCTTGTTGAACATGAAAGCTCAGCTGGCTGGGGCATTTTCATTCTTTTAAAAAAGAAAAACCAACTTTCTGGGTGACGAGGATGTCATTAAAGAAATGACCTGGGCTCATGGGCTGCCGGAATGGGGGCTGGGCCCAGGGCTACTCAGCCCTCTGACACTTCACAGGGTGACTCATGCTCTGGTGTCCCAAGAATTGAATTCCTGGAAGGAAATTATCCATGGTGTACGGTGTCAAGAAAGACAGATGAGGGTGATCTCAACCTTGACTGAGAAATGCCCAAGAGAGAAAAGAAAGGAAGGAAGGGAGGAAGGGAGGGAGGGAGGAGAAAGAAAGAACCCATCGAGAAGGGAAGAGAGAGTGAGGGGGAGGGAGAGGGAGGGAGAAAATAGGAGGAGGAAGAGGAGAAGGGGAGGGGGGGGGGGGGAAGGGAGGCAGGAGGGAGAGCATCATGGGGATGCCGGGCAGAAGTGAAATGGGAAGGAAGAGGTCGATCACTTACTGAAAAGTCCTTTGTGTGCTTGGGAAAGACAAATAGAGTTGTTGGAGTAATAACTTTTGTAACAAATCACAGGCAGTCATTTGACAGAGGTTTTGGAAAATGAGAACCACTAAAATCCCCTAGGAATATAAACCATCTTTGGAAAAGACTGTGAGCCAAGATCAAGACTAAGTGCTGTCAAAGCCCATATTATGAGGGTAGAAATCTACAAAACAGATGCTCTGGAAAATGAATGAGTAGGAAAGGGCCCTGACCACCAGAATGTGCAGGCAGAGGTGGAAAAACACAGAGGCAAGGTTTCTACCCACTACGTGCTCCTCTGACATTTCAGCAGGCACCCAACCCCAGTCCCTTTGCTGCATCCTGGGACCACACATCTGACCGTGTGGCACCAGGTACCAACAGGAAAGTTTACCCTTCACCCCACAGAGCCAATTCTCCTGCCAACTCACCAGGTATCTACAGACTGCAGAGATCGTGAGGTTGTGATAGGAGACTCAAGTGGCAGAGGGAAGGAATGAGGAAGAAGCAAGTTTTATTCACTCTCTGGGCAATCACCTAGAACTCCCTTGCAACCTGTCTGGCTACTACCTCAGCTGAATCTCCATTCCACTAATACCCAATCTGCACCTCTTATGACAGAGACCACCTTCCCGTCCAGATTGGTGGTGATTCCATCTTATTTTTGCTCAGCGATCATGATTTTAGTACCTTCTGCTTTGGGACAGAAAGCCCATTAGGTCAATTCTCAATACCTTAAATTCACACCCAGAAGCCCTCATTCAGGTCTCATTCATCTAAATGCTGGGTAGGGACAGCTGGAGGACCAAGGATCCACGTGGGTCCTGGCTTCCCAGCGTTCTGAGCCTGTGGAGGGATGGGGGCCCTCATGGATCCCTACAGGTCCTCTGTAGAGTGACCCATCCTGACCAAGACAAGAAGAATCAGTACAGCAGTGGGATTTCATGGTGTCTCGAGTTCTCTTCTACAGGTAAAAACTGTTCAGAAAAAGAACAACCAGCTTCACCAGGTGGCAGATCTCAAAGGGGGAAAAAAGTAGGGGGCAAGGAGTGACAGCAGGACAGAACTGCCCAGACAGACTCTGGGGAAACCAAATGAAACCAGACTTCTTTGTGATGAAGCAGTAGGAGACACAGCTGGAGAGGTGGAGGCAGCAGTGTGGGGTGACCTCTTTGAATGGCAAAACGCAGTTCCCTCTGCTAGACTCTGAGCAGCCACAGAAGAAGTGGCTCAGCTTCCGAGGGAGCAGAAGAGCCTCGGGGAGGCCACGTGTGTTTACAGGCTGGGTGAACCAGCAGGAAACAGAAAACAGAGAAAAAAACACAATGGTGAAAGCAAGCCACACTCTGTCTCCCTAAGTGACCTGCTGTCCGTGGCCACCTCTAGGTGATGTGGGCAGAGTTGAATAGTTGCAACAGAGTCTGTGTGGTCCACAAAGCCTACAATATTTCCTGTCCAGCCATTTACATGAAAAGTCCCCTCCTCTAGACTCCACCCCTGAAGCCAGCCTGACTCCTGCAGGTGGCACGGCTGCTGCCCGACGGGGCCCCTCATGGCAAGTAGAGGCTCATTAAAAAATTCCTGCCACACAGCCAAAGCCATTTTATATTCACAAATGACTGAACAAAAGGTATGGGAACGCCAGACTCCCGTGAAATGCCAGGTGCACAAGGTGAAGGTGCTGAGAGGCTCAAATCTGGTCCTGCTGGTCCTACACAACATACAGTCCTTGACAATTGAATGTTCCAACATTACTCCCCAGAAAGGCCCTTGCTTCTGAAATAACTTTGAGAAATTCCCCTCACTAAGTGGCAACCCAAACTCTGGTGGCAAAAAAAGAAAGGGATAAATTTTAAAAAGGGGCACCTTCCAGTTAATGTGTTAAAGTACATTTAGTTGGGCATGACCTAGGAATTGTCCCAGAATATCCCCCTTGTTCATCCATTACTGGCATGTGAGCCCACACACAAGCATACACCGCTACCATTTCTTAATTATGGAGCCAAATTAATTTATACACACGTGTGTGTGTGCACACAAGTGATCATTGATATAATTTATGCCAAAAATTTAACAATGCAAATAATTGGCTTCCAAGGATTGATTGACATGTGTATTTTTTAAATTCTTGGAGGCAGTAACGAGCAAATCCTTCCACATACAACTCGATTTTAAGACACACTAACCAAGACCTTCTATTTTCTCCTCCACAGGACTTGTGAGGTCTGGCCTTTCAGCCTGCCATGCTGAGGGTGACGGGTACTTGTCCAAGCCCATCCTAGGAGGAGATCAGAAAAGGAAGAGGCCCTCCTAGGCCATGTGAAACAGACGGTTCTCCTTGGCATAGGTCATGCCGTGACCCGTGTGAGCATCTACAGTGTGTTCCCCAGCCATGAGCCTCCAGCTACCTTTCCTGAAGGTGTCCCGGCCTTGCTCGGCTTCTCTGTTGATCTGATTCTGCTCTGGCTCAGCGGCAGGGCCCTGGTCATCCAGCTCATCTTCGGTTTCATCATCGCTGTAGGGAACCACTTCATCATTGGGCTGAGAATCCTCCTCAAATGTTGTTTCTGAGTCTCTTTCCGTGGTCATTCTGCTGGCGAACTGGGACTATCTGGTGGGAAACAAAGCAAACCAGGGAAAATTATTGGCTGCTGCCCAGGTTTTGGTTGTGGGTCTCTACCCAGGAAAATAAATTTAGTGGTCACACCCAACATCAAAAAGCCAATCCCACAAAACCAAAGGCGGAATGTTTTCTCTAATATACGGTGGTGCTAATTCACAATAAGGCAGGGGGCACTAAGGAAGAATAATAGGGTTACCTTAAATTAGGTAGAGGGAAGTGAGGGGAGGGGAGGGGAGGGGATATGGGGATAGGTAAGACTGTAGAATGAAACAGACATTATTACTGTATGTATATATGTGACGACATGACCAATATGATTCTGCAACATGTACACTGAGAAATTATATCCCATCTATGTATGATATATTAAAGTACATAAATGCATTCTACTGTTATGTATAACTAATTAAAAGAAATTTTTAAAATTAAAAAAAAAATACAATAAAATAGCCAGGTGCGGTGGTGAACACCTGCAATCCCAGTGGATCGGGAGGCTGAGACAGGCTGGGGTTATGGCTCAGTGGTTGAGGGCCCCTGAGATCAATCCCAGGTACAAAAAAACAAAACAAAAACAAAAACCCTCAATTAAACAGACTAAAAAATATCAGAGTATTGTTCACGTGGTAAGAATAAGTGTCATTTGTTAAAAGTTTCATAAAAGTCTCTCACACACACACACACACACACACCACATTTATCTGCATTGTGGTATGGATGGAATTGAATTTCTTAGGCTGACAGAGTTGGAAAACCACTGCCCTGAGAGGCCTGGTTTCTGCTAATGCTAATGAGCCTTTGTTCTGTAACACATTTTAAATACAACCTGAGGTCCTCGAATTTCACTGGTGACTTTGAGGGATCTCACCTCACCTTTCCACCTCCACTCACTCCCCTATCTGGAGTTTGTGTACCTACTACTGCATAAAGCAACTGTACATAACTAAGAAGGACACACATTTAGTTATATTTATGTTAGGAAACATTTACATAAATGGCTCAGGTTGCTCAAGGACAGACATACAACCTGGACTATTTACACAAGCCTCACATTGCCAGGGACTCAGTATTGTTACTAATAGCAGCTCACATTTATTTGGTGTTAACTTTGCACCAGGCCTTACACGAGGAGCTTGGTAGACATTGGCTCCCTAAAACTTCTAATGTCACCCTGATGAAGGTATTATTGTTACTTGTACTGAGAAGACAATCAAAACTCTAAGACATTAAATAACTTGCACAGTAATTATTAACATTGTGCAGAAAAAAAAATTGCTTTCCAAGGAGAGGTCTCCTGTACTCCATGTATGTTATAAATTATTATGTATTTTAATTTGAGTTTAAATTGCTTTGAGCGGAAGTATTTAACCAACTTCATGTTTGACACCAAACCTAGCATCTTGGGCATCTAAAATAATTTTTATACTTCAGAAAATACTTCTTTGAGGATTTTTATCCAGTGTACTTAAAACAGTAAAAACCAGAAGCAACCTGGATGCCCAAGAATTACTGATTGTGTAGATGAATCATTGCATCTTTATACAGTGGGACAGTTTACACTAATTTAGACTATGATTGGCAGAGCATTTAGTGATATCAAAAAAGTCCAAACACATTAAATTGAAAGGTGAGTTATAAATCCACATGTCCAGAATAGTCCCAAAGTTTCGAAAACTGATGTGCATTATTTTTAAGTGAAAGGACCCATATCACGTGCTTAACTCAGTTGATAGCCCACAGTGAGAATTTGATAAACAGCTATTATTATTGTTAGCTATTATCTTCATATTTAGAAAACTAGAAGTGGGTGGGTATCTGTCACTGTGAGCTTTTCCATCTCCAGAGTTACCTGTACAATGTTTTCTCTGTCCCTCATTGGGAAGTAATAAGTTAGACTATTATCCCCTTTAAAATATGAATCTACTTAATTTGTAGACTTCAGCTCAGGTATTAAACTTTTTGCTCTCCAAATATAAGTCTATTTAAAAATTTCTAAACTCTTAAAGGAAAATTTCACCAAAATAAATTTCAAGAACAAAAATAATATAAGAATGGCTACCATGTATTGGGCTCCCACTGTGTACAGAGCAGGGCAACCCATGAGACAGATGTCATTATTCGATCTTACAAATACGGAGACCGAGGCTCAGCTGGTGATTGGCAGTTAGGATCCAAGCTCTCCACTAAAGGCGTATATAAAATATTGAACTATCTAAAAGCACTGTATAGAACGTTTTTTATTTGGTAACATGCATACCACATGATTTTTCCACTTTGACCATTGTGTTAGTCCATTTTCTGTTCTTATGTACAATAGAATACTCAAGACTACTGGAGTAAGAAGAATCAAGGTTCATGTAGCTCACAGTTCAAGAGTCACGGGAAGTCCAAGGACAGGTGCCACCTGCCCAAATACCTGGCGAGGCCTTCTTGCTGATCCTGACATGTGACAGGCATCACATGGCAAGACAGCAGTCACTCCAGCTCAGGTCTTTCTGCCTCTTCTTATAAAGCCACTAATACCATCCCAGGACCCTCATGACCTCATCTAATCTGCATTACCTCCCAAAGGCCCACCTCCAAATGCCATTGACAGATGACTCTGGGAGTTTGGTTTTGCACACATGAATTCTGGGAACATGCCCACATCACAACATTCGGTTTTGAATGTTGTTCAGTGGCATTAGGTCCACCGTATAGAAACATTTGGCAAGCTATTATTTTCATCATTGCTCCCAAACTCCCAAGCATCTGGATGCTTCTTTTCCCTGTTAGAGCCTGCATCCAGTTCTTCCAGGTTGAGGGAGGGGCAGACAACTGTGAAGGAACAGATCCAAGTGAGCAAGGTGTGTGTCTCCAACCTCCACCACCCAGACAGATCTGGAGAGGCTGAGTTGGAGGGCAGAGGCAGGGCGCACCAAGGTCAAGTTCTCTGGCTGTGTGTGTAATGCAGACACACACAGGAATCACGCAACTCTGTCAATTAAGACAACCAAGGAAAAACTAGGATGGAATCACTTCTTTGAAGTCTTAAGTGGTATAAGGAAGCTTTCCAAACCTGAACCATCCTCCCTGAAGACAGGCACAACAGACAGGATGGATTTGGAAACTTTTTAACATCCTTAGCCCTGCTCCATGATACTGAAGACAGGGGCACCTTAATCAGCATCCATTAAGCACCTGTGAGGTCCAAAGCACTAGAATCCTGGAAACAGAACCACTTAGAGACTTTCGGGTTATTGAGGGATAGACATATAAGCTGCCAAGAATGGCCAGAGGGTACAGCAAGACTGGCCCCAAACACCTCCGGTCCATCCCCTCCTCTCCATCCCATGGCCACCAACCTCACTCAGGACACTGTCATACCTCTCCCAAAATGAGGCAGAGGCCTCTAAGTAAACTTTCCATAATGAACCTTCACACAGCCACCAGAGTCGTGCCGTTATCCATTGCTATGGATTGATTTTGTGGCTCCAAATCCCGCAGTTCACATGCTCAAAGTCTGTAGACCTTTAAGGACACACTTAAGGTTAAACAAGGACATCAGGCTGAGGCCCCCATGCGGCAATACCAATGCCCTTATAAGAAGAAGAACACACACCAAAGATCTCTCCTCCTCCACATGCACACAGGGAAATGACCACGAAAGAGGACAGCAAGATGACAATTGTCTACAAGTCAGAGCAACAGGCCTTACCAGAAGCCAACACTGTTGGTACCTCAGCCTTGGACTTCAGTCTCTACAACTATGAGAAAATAAGTGTGTCTCGTTCTGCCACCCAGGCTGTGGTATTTTGTCATGGCAGCCTGGGTAGACTCAAACGCTGCGGTTTCTCTCTGTGCTCCAGCTGCACAGTCTTCCCAACTCCAAGAGCTCTCCAGACTCCTCCTTCTCAGTCCCATGGGTCTGCTTTGCTTTCTTAAGCAAATAAGCCCTTCCTACCTTGGGGCATTTGCACAGGCTGGTTCTTCTGCTGAAATGCTCTTCTCCTGGTTCCTTGCATGACTGTTTCCTCATTCTTTAAGTCTCCACTTTAAAGTTCCCTTCCACTGATGGCATTGAACAGGTATCTGCCCTCCTCTTTTGCTACCACTGGCCTCCTGAACACTGACGATTCTGCTTCCTTCCTAGTGCTTACCACAATTTATAAATACATACTTGCTTTTACTTACTTATCATCTGCCTCTCCCACTAGACCACAAGAACAGAGCACAGTCTGGGAAATCCTCAGTACCACACAGTTGACTAGGAAATCCTCAGTACCACACAGTTGACTTTCAAAGACTTGGAGGAAAAGCAAATCCATCTTCAAAAAAAAAGTCCTGGAGGACTCTGAGAACCAAAGTTCCTCCCCATCCATCTACGTTCATATCTACCACACAGCCACAGATTCCAACAGTCACCGGATGAAGGATAAATGCTTGAGGGCAATGGTGAGGGAGAAGAGGAGCAGACAAGTCGAGAAGCCCTGCACGATGCAGCTTTTGTAGGAGTCTGACTCATTCAAGGCCAACAAAAACTTATTACCTGAGATTTTATCATGCACACAAAATGAAACGAGGCTTCCGGTAAGATACTGCAGGTTTTAAAGGTGAGGACCCATCTCTCTTGCTTATCATAGTAACTCCAGCACCTGGTACAGGTGTCTGCTACAGAGAACCCAGTTTCCCCTCGGTCCTAAGAGGCTTATAGTCTAGGCAGCAGGTGGCAATTATATCCCAGGACCATTGGCCATTCTGCCTGTTTTCTTAGGCCTTACGGGACACACCTTTGCTCATTTCTTTATGAGCTGTCTCTGGATGCTTCAGCACTACTATGGCAAAACAGAATACAGACATTTGCAATTGAGACTGTATAGCCTCAAGGTCTAAGGTATTTACTACCTGACCCCTTATAGACCAAGTCTTCGGACCCCTGAACTAAAAGGAACAGTAATAAGAGACAACGAGTAATCAAAACAAGTGGTCA